AGCTATTATTCTCAGGCAATGTAATACATATATGAATGCTTGTGCATAATTCATTACAGTTAATTATTTTGTTGGTATTTTATTAACAATTGGCTAAAAGTGTTTTGTGGTTTTTTTTCCCAAATCTATACTACTTCAGGCTTTCGGTGAAGTAACCTGTAGCTACCTGCTTTATTTACAAGGGGGTTGCAATGACTTGGTCAGTGCTTCTTCAGTGATCAATTAACACACTTTAAAGCAAGTTCAGAGAAGATATATGAAATGTTCTGAGTCTGCACTGGGTTGTCCATGTGCTAAATCAGCAGAATTAGGGAACCACCAAGCATGCTAATTCAGAAATGTTCTTCCTTCAATCTTTCAGCTAGGCTACACAATATTCATGCTATTTCTAATAAGAAGGGATTTGTTATAGAGGGACTGAGGACAAGCTGTTTCTTAAATATTGTAATGTGTTGGACTGGGTTGCAAAGATCACTTTTTTGTTTTCCGCTGTGCAGCCACAGGGCTAAGAAAAGGTTATTTGTTTTCCTTCCCACTACTTACAATTTAAAGCCATGGCAGACACACATGACCTGCTTGATATCACTGGGGATTTGTATTTGGGTAATTTGTGACCTGTTTGTGATTTGTATGTGAACTTAATTTAGTAAACATAAAGATCTTTCTTCATGAGAGCCCATTTTCCATAAAATGGAATGGGTGTGTTGTCTTTGTCACAACACTGTTGAGGGACAGTTTAATGCACTAGGAAGGAACACAGGAATTTTGAGTTCACTGCTACAAGAAACTGTTCAATGTTATGAATGGAATGAAAGTCTGAATTATGGGTCCAATAAAATCCAGGATAACCAGCTACTTGTTTTTTTACCTAAAAGGAGCAAAGGAAATAGACCTGAAGATTTCAATCCCTCTCACTACCTCTGATGGTCAGTTAAGTGATTTAGTTAACTGACATGAATTGTAAAGTAAGCTCAGGAGCTACATAATAAACCAGTGACTATTATTTATATATAAAACTACAAAGTATGCATGTCCTTGTACAGGCAAGAGTGAAAGGCCATGTGAGAGCATGTGGATGAATGCTTATGGCACACTTCACTGAGCAAATTGAAGCCATATTAATATTTAATATATTCATACATAGATGGATCATGTTTCTGAGACCACCTTTTAAAGAACGCTTCAGTAAAAAAATGCAGCAAAGTTCTTTAAGAATTTTTCTAAAGAGATCCTTCAAGCTGGAGTGTCTGAAACACTGGAGACATTTACTGAGAGACACTTTTGGGCAAATAGTAAGAAAGATACTTTCTCAAGAGGTGGTGTTTGATCACTACAGCAGGTGCCTTAATGCATCATGTCTTGAATTGGAGTTCAGATGGGCAATCATGTTACTGCTGTGTTAAACTTTTCACGCTTCAGCTGAGCCATAATGACTGTTTGTGGGCATATCTTTAGTCATAGAAAATTACAATGCAAGGTTGAACAACATCCTGTTCTATATGGTGGAGGAAGAAGGTGTGCAGCTGTCGAGTGTGGTGTTGTTTTGTGTGTGCAGTTGGGTAGACAACTGAAGGGTTCTGAAATCCATGCCTGACTTAACTCAGACTGTCTTTCTTTACAGTTGATCTAGGTTGAAAGCAGGCATGAGGATAGCTGCCATCACTCAGTTAATGTGCAGTAACCTGTTCCTTCAAATAGACAGTGTGTGAATTGAGAGAACTGATCCTACCACCTAAACCCACAGCATATATCCTGCATAGTCTTCCTTTTCAATAAAGAAATAAAGAAAGAAATGCATTTTTGAGTCCTCTGCTGCAAAGATGGAGACCCAAATATGGATTCAGAGGCTCCATTGTAGCAGCACCAAGACTCTGGCAGTGGGCGTGACCTTTTTAAATATCTCCCTTTATTGACAGCCTTAGGAAAACAGAATTCTGTTCTGTAAACCTGCAACAGGTTTTGGGAAATGACCTCGCAGAAGATTTACAGACAAATCTGAAGAACTCACTAAAGGTTAAGATCTAAATTTAAGTAATTTCCCTGTTTCCCTCTATTAATACTTTTCATACTAGTGGACTCACAATTAAATTTTCCTGCTGAAAGGATTTCAGGGCATTAGCTTTGCCTGTTTAAATATTTTTCTTTTCCTCTGCTGGTCTTAATGGTGAAAGAGAGTATTTTCTTAATCATTGTCTTAAATTTCTTGAGATCTTTATTTGGAAAACATTATAGATTTCATTTTAAATAAGCCTTTTGGAGGATTTTTTTAAAATTCCAAGTCTAATGTTACTATTTTACACAAAATAGTAACATTTTTCTTACATGGCAAGTTTTTCTTACTGTTGTCATATTTAACATGTTAAATTCTTAACCTTTCTTTTGTTTTCTCAAAAGATTTCTATCTGCCTCCATTCCAAAATTACATATTTGCTCTTAGTCAGCTTTCTTTCCTAAATAATTTAGCTTTTATAAAACAGAATAACAACATCTCTTAGGACTAGCTTTATAACAAGCTTATATATCTATCTACTTTACTTTTGAAAAGACAGAGGGCAATTTCAGATAAGAGGACATGGAATAGGTAGAAGCATACTGAATTGCCAAGTATTTCTACAGGTGTATTCACTATATATTTGGTAGTATTCTTACTGTCTTTCCCTTTACAAAACTATCAATGATTGTAGTAGGAACTAAATCTTATAGGAATTGGCCATATATTCTACATAAATATATGTCAGTATAAAACAGTCTAAATTACAATATGCATCAAAAACTACCATCTTCATGTCATAAGTACAGGCTGATAGTGCTGACTGTTTGGGTAAAAACATAATTCAATTTATAATTGCCTTTCTGTGGAAAGCACCAATACCCTGAGATTTCTTTGAAGCAATCCTTTGCTGAGCAATTCTTTATACTATCTGTTGCAACTTTGCATTCACTAATCTCCCTAGACTTTTCAAAAGAGGAAAGTGTTATTATCACATCGCAGCAGGCAGGAAAACTAAGGTGAAGTATCCTCTTCCAAAACTTGATGAAAATGGCAAGGGAGGATGAAAGGGACAGGGATTTTACATCAGTGTCAATCTTAGTTGTAAGCTTTAAAGTCTACAGTACTGCCAGCTTCCCAGCTAGAGAGTCCCAGCCTTTGGGAAGGTGAAAGGCATGAGGCTGACTGGCTCCACTGCCCTGGCATTGCACCAGGCTGCACCAGACTGAGAGGATGCACAGAAGTCCTCTTCCTTGGCCTTTCCTTGCTACCATCATTTTGGGATGGGGGGATGCCACTCATGCCAGGATGCAATGCAGAGGACCCCACTCTCCACATGCAGTGAGCTGCCTCCTCCCAGCACTGGTGCGCTTAGTGATGACAGGCAGAGAAACTGGAACTGGTTCCCTACCCCACCTTAGATGCGTGTGTCAAACCACTGAGCTGTCTTTGGAGCTGTGTTTGCAACACACTGTGCTTCAGCTGATTCCCTAACGTGAATCTTGGAAAGGCCTTTTAACTTGGAAGCAGCAGTGTGCAAATGTGGCTGTGCCAGTTCCAGACTTACACTGCTAATGAATTTTGCCTGTGCTGCTTGCTTTATAGAGCCTTGCCTTCTGAGGCCTTTGATAGATGAAAAAATTCTTCTACTTTTTGTGTCATATAGTGTGGATATATGCTAAGTATGTCAAATCCACAGGGTGCAATGACAGCATTGAGCAATCAATCTCTAATACACTGTATGCTAACATCCCCATCTAGTTGTCCGTAATGGGGAGTCTGGTGCCTAATTAGTGCAGAACTCACTATTCTTGTTAAACTCTGGTCAGCCCTATTGCAAAAATCACTTCAGCTGGTCAGCTATTAGCCATGGTGGGAGATTATATTTACAAGTATTTATTAATTACAAAATTTCAACTCCCTACAAATTCAGGGTGACAGCTTCTAACAGACATCCTGCATATCTGAAGAGGAGAACCTGTCTCTTTAATGTCATCTGTTCTACATTGCGTGTAAAAAGGTGAGGGAATACAGGTTATAGTAGCTTCTTCTGGGAATAATGCTATTCGGGGTATAGAGATTCAAGTCTTGGGCTGGGTAATAGGACATAAACCTGAAAATTACAAGTAGGTTTAAATTGCATTTGCAGTAAGCAGTACAAACTACTGGTTATTCACATGCCGTTACTCCAGACTTGCTGTTGAATCTGCTGGGTCCCTTACTAACTGACTTCTGCTGCTTCACTAAAAGGTTTTTACTGTACACTTGATTAAATATTTTCTAAATGCAAGCAATGATAATGAGCAGGAAAAATTCTTTCAGCTGAAAGCAGAATAAGAAAACCAGGAAGGAAAGGAGAGTATTACAGAGGCTAAACCACTGTGACACTTCCATTCTTATTAGGAACGCCTCTTACTTTCCAAATATTTTTTAATATTGTTCTAGAAGAATTTAGGAGTTTAGGACTGTAATGGTGCTAAATGAAATGCTTTTATTTAATGAAAGATGCAGCCTCAGGCTTAAAATCCAAACATTTCTTAGCCAAACATTTATTAAGGAGAAATCCTTCCATCAAAAAATCTGTATCTACCAATAGATAGCAGAGTATACACATGGAAGATAGAGACTTGGGACTGTGGAAAGCAAGTGTTTAATAATGAAAAAGTTCGCCATTTTAGAATCTTATTAAATTTTGGAAAGCAGCATTAAAAAAAAAAAGAAAAAATAGCACTCTATATTTTTACATATGTAAAATAATAAATGTAAACCAATTAAAATTACGTTTTATTTCCTTTCTAAAATCACCAAAGGTAGTAAAATATATTTGTCATATTTCTCCTCAGAAGTTCCTATGCTTAATTGATATTAGAAGTATGAGGCATATAGGTCTAGACACTAGTTATGGAACATCACGGTGCTGCTCTGAGCTTATTTTGTTAATCCAGGCTGTTGGTTCTCTGTGGTTACTTGTAGGAACCATATAGACAAACAGGTCATGATTATTCCTTACCAGCTCATTGCTGCCATCCTCATCAAAATCCTCCTCTATCCCATCAGTCATATCTTCTCCATCCCCATCTGCATCTGGCCCTCCTTCAATTGGCTCTTCCGTAGAGTTATCTGCATTCTCTGATATGCATTCCTCTTGAATCAAATCAGCATTATCTTCCATTTGTTTCTTTTGGGCTTCTGTAAGGAAAACATACTCTATGGAGATTCAGTGACCTTTCCTATTGGTGGTAAAGGAAAGTGCTCTGAGAAGAAACCTAAACTTCCATCTCCAAATGTGCTAGATTTGTAAAATTCTCTGTGTTGATTTCTACCAGGCAAATGATTGAAAACTTTTCTTTCAAAAATTAGTGCATAAATAAATCACAATATTAATATGATCATCTACCACATTTATGCCATTCAGTGGATGAAGGCTTGATTTGCCAGTAGATCCAGATTTTTGATTTTCTGTATTTGACTTTGCCTTGAATCCAGTTGGCAAAGATGTTTATTCATGTGCAGCCAATGAGAAGTATATAAATATCTATGCTCTGAGAAGCAGAAGGCAGTTAATTGCCAAAAAAATGAGTAAGAATTTGCATTAATTTACTGTGAATATATTTTAACAGTCATGCAGGTAATCAACAAATACTTTTAGACAGGTGAACATGTTTTTATGGAGTAAAGTATCCGTTACTCCTCATTGGTATAGTGTGCTGAAGTAACTGGAGAATGTCCCCCTCCAATCAACCAAATATTGGCTTCCTATATTTTCTGCAAAGTGGTAAAAAAGAAAGGCCATTTCCATGGAGGCCTGAAGAATCTGTTCTGGTTGAATTCATGAGGGTACCTGCATTGTTTTGACTAGGTATTAAGAAACTCCTGGATATGCTGAGGAACTTCATTCAAACAGCAGAAATCCAGAGGAAGATTGATAGAAGAATGACAGAGACAGACTGGGTAGAAGAATGTTTGGAGGGATCAGAGTCTTATTTCTATGCATGTCAGGAGTTTATATGAAACACTTTATGTACTCAGAGTGAATCAGGCCAGAGAATTGGTTGTATGAAGCTAGAAAAATAATGTCTTTTCAGTCTGAGGGTCATCGATGACAGAATTTCTAGAACAAAATATTTCTTCCTTTGTAAGACTGACTGCTCTGTAACACTAGTAGTTCAACACCTATCTTGTTGGACAACCAATGAATTAAGCGTTGCCTTGAAGCTCTGTATTTTTGAAGCTGTATTATTTATTTACCATAAGTTATTACCAGCTACACATACTATTCAAATCTGATGGCATTTTTCTGTTCCATAGTCTTAAACCAAGACATTTGTTTTACCATTTGACTTTGCACATTTATTTTGCCACTTACATTCATCTCTTTAGTCTTCATTTGTCTTTAGTCCCTCATTTTCAATTTCACTTACTGAAGAAACAGAAAAATTAAGCTTTCCTCCTTCAGTCACCTAAAGTCTTCAAAAAGATTCTTAGATTTAAAGAATACAAAAGTCATCTTAGACAGCTGCTCTGACAGTCCTGTAATCATATATATTAGCAGAAGATTCAGCCCCTGGAGCCTTTTCTTCTGTTGGTAAGGTGCTCCATACAATGCCATGCTAGTTAAAAGTGATTGTTTTACTTGCCTTATGCATAAGAAAATATGGATTGAATCATCTATGCCTTCTGTGTATGGCCCTACCACTTCCTGTGTTAAGCTGCTTCTGAGATCACTCAGCTCTGGCAATGACAACTGAATCAATTTTGGCTAAGGCTTTTAAAAACAAAGTTGCTGAATTGATAGACAATACATTTAAATGGGAAACCTTCTAAGATACAGCTGCTAAAAAATTAGGTCACTTAGTTAATTGTCTTAAACTCAAGTATCTAACTTTGAGCCTAATTAAAGCCTAATCTCTAATATTACAGGAAGAATAGTCTCTAAATTTTTCTTTTGCATGTCAGAACAGCTTATTCCCAGCTTCCCGGTTCAGATTTTTGCAAACAAAGGAGCTATTTCTACAGTATTCTTATGTACAGGAAATCCTATTTTCTATATTCCCCCTATTGGAAAGGTTAGGGATTGATAATAGAAAAAGCCGGAACATCAGCTTTTACTGCAAGAAGAGTTTTCATGCAACTGTAGAGCAGTAACCAATGTATGCACTGAGCTTGTCTGGCCTGTAACATCACATTCCTCCAGATGTAAAAACTTTGAGGATTAAAAATTAAATATTCTTCAGGAGAGCGAGTCAAACTTAGAAAACCAAAAGACCAAGATGATGGCTTGATTTTTGCTCTGTGCAAATAAGAAACAGATCCTCTCTCTGATCCCAGTCTTAGTGAGGCCACACCTTCTGGCAGAGGAAAACAAGAAATAACATTGCCAAACCATAGAGAAGGAACAAAATCATCTCATAATCTCCCACTTGATACTCTAAATGAAATAGTTCAGCTATTGATGTAGCTTACACAAATATTTTTGGATCTGCATGCTAATAATCCGGGCTGTATAACCCTCTTCATCAGCTCAGAAAACTTAAATGGGATTCCATTCTTACTGGTATCTTTGAGGTGTTTTTCTCCTCCCACCCTTCAATGGGAGGCAAAGAATATGAGGGATGGGTTCTGTGCCTGATGTTTTAAAGCATCAATATTTTGAAAACATTTTTTAATATCTGAGGATATTCATTGCATGTCTTCAGAAGCCATAAGACTGTGACTCAATAGAAATCAACATTTTTCTTTTTGACCTGATTTCTACTTAAATAAGACCACTACAGTCCTTTAGAAAAAGTGAAAATTGAATATCAAGATACAATGATCTGTAGATTGTTTTGCATAGTAATGGATTTTTTATAAAAGCTCCCCAAGGTAGCACAATCAAGAGTATTTCAGTGCACAAGTGATTCATGGAATGCTTTGCAATTACATCTTCACCAATTATACCAACTTTTTTCCAACTTGCATAAAGTACAAAATAGAATCTAATGAATACATATTGTGCACAGATGTGAAAGAAGTAATCACACTCTCTACTAATGGTTTACCTTAGACTTGTAAAAAGCCCTTAACTTTGTGAGATAAACTGTAACAGCTGGGGGACTGGTCCTTGTGTATCAACTTAGAAAATTATTGTAAAGAAAAGGTAGGTTATTTTTCAAACAAATTTTTTTTAAAGTTACTTGGGAACAGGATGCATCCATATCTAAAGTCCTGTTTTGACTGTGTCAGGTTTGTAACCTTCAACTGCTAATCCCCAGTAATGTTTTAGACAATCTTGATGGAATTCTCTTTATGTGTCCTGATGGGTTTTTGGCTTCATGTAACTGACTACTGTCCAGACACCCAGGCAGTTGTGGATTCTGAGGCAGAATTTATTTCACACATTTCACACAAAATTCAGAAAAAGGTTTTATCACAGAATGGAGGGGTGAAAAAAATAATTGAGTTTTCATGAGATAAGGCATCCATTTCCATGCTGACTCTCACAAAATCAACTCACTAATATAAAGCTCCTGTAAAAATATGCATGTGATCTATAAGAAAATAGCAAAGAAAATGCCATAGATAGGCATAAGAACTGAGTTTGTTTTTTTTATATACCATGGTGAAAATACAACCTTATAACTCTCAGGATGACTTTAAAGTGCTGTTACGTGAGATCATTCATCTAAGAAAATGAATAATGCACTGACTTCATTAAATTATGAAGTAGTATTGGATTTTTTCATTCCTAAGGTTTGACTAAAACCAAAACATTTTAAGCCAGAAAGAGGCTAAACTAGAGCTGTAACCAGTTTTATGAAGAAGCCTGAACTTCACTCAGTTACTGAGGTTGGAAAGTATCTCTGGGCTCTCCAAGTCCATTCCCTCTTCAAATCAGGGACAAACTCAAATTTTAGCCCAGGTCCATGGGTCCTGAGCCCAATGAGTTTTGAATGTTTCCAAGGATGGAGCCAGTATGGTCTCTCTGGTCAACTCACTATACTGCTTAGTTGCATCTCTTTTCCATATATCAAGCAGAATTTTTTTCCTTGCTTCAGCTTGTACCTATTACCTACTGCTTATTGCCCAGGCAATAATTCTTGATATACATGATCTATTAATACTTAATGTGCCTAGCACCACCATCCCCATGGTCAAAAACTTGTAGCTTAATTCTGCTCAGTCAGTTTTTTAGTGATGCCTTGTTTCCAGAACAACTAGAAAGATTATTTTTTCCTACTGCACCATAAAAAACAAGTCTTAAAGGATGATGTATGTTCTGTGAAGCATATTAATCTATTCTCCCAGTAGTTTTACCTGAGAGTTCATTTACCTTGTTTCAGGCCTCCATTAAGTACCAAAATTTCAAAATGCTTCAGTTCTCTTTGGTCTGTTTGCTTGATTGGTAACAAGGTTCTAATTTAATTCATTTCACTAAAAATGGCTTTTACCTACCTGCTTCAGCTTTTTGCTGCTTTTCAATTTTTTCCAGTCTCCCTAGCAAGGAGTCAATTTTTGTTTTGATTTGAGTTAATTCTTTCTTGATTGTTTGCAACTCATCTGATTTCACTGTGGAAAGAGAGCAAAATGCAAAACATGAAATAAACTATATTTGTGGTAACGTTCCCCCCCACCAAGCAAAACATGCTCTTTTTTTCTTTTCTGTCTAGTAGAAAGTCAACTCTCTCATTTTTGTCAATATTTTCCGAGATTTATCTTTTAAAATTAATGTTGTTAGTTAAAAATGCAGAATCCTAGAAACCACAGGATTCTAAGCCTTATTGGCAAGAATCCATGAAAGGCGTGTTGCTCAGTAATAGTCATTTCAGGAAGAACACCTCAAAAACATCTTCATAAATCCAAGCAACTTTTACTTAAAAACAGCCTATAGTGAAAGAAAAATTCAAATATGATAGACAGATCACAGTCTTGAAATGTTATTTTGCTGAGTTCTTTTGGAATAATATTGACAAAAATAAATAGATCCCTTACAGTATGTATTTGTCAGCAAGAGTGAATGGTAATATAAGTGCTATGGCAGCCAGGAATTCCAGGTTATGTTCCAGCCAAGAACTCATTGCAGGAGGTGTCATGTTTTGTTGCTTCAAAAGCTTTCAGTTCAGTTTCAGTTGGCAATTTCTTGTACTTTTACCAGCTATGGGTAATATATGAAAATATTTCATTTTATGATCACATCCAAGGATGTGAATGGAGGCATCATGTATAAATTATTAGTGAAATTTCAAAATCTTTATGGCACTGATTTACTCTTCATTTTTATTTATTAATGCGCTCCCATTGTCTAACCTAAGAAGGAGTAACTGCATTGGAAATGTTTTGGCTTCAAAATAAACAGTGCTGCAGCCCTCATAAATTACCTCGTTATTTTGGCATTATCAGAACATATGCTGTATGATCAGAAGGTGGTCCAAACAAATACACTTGCCCTGTTTGTGCTAGGGAGCCTGGGAAAAGGGGTGTTTGCTATGAAGAAGAACGTATTCCCTTTCTGTCAAAAGCATCTTCTGGCTGCATCTTGCTGCATCACTCCTGTTCACTGATGACATTGGCCATGTCTGTTATGGTGTCTCAGGTAATTTGTATTGGGCAATGAATCTTATGGTGTAGTGTGAAGACAAGCTATTGCCTGATTCAGTGATAGTTGATGAGTAGATGTTTGCTTCAAATTAGCCTTATTCCAAACTTGTAACATATTCACTGAGGTTGAAATGAAAGATTTTTATCTTGGAGTTTGGGCCATGTGCATGAAAATATAACATGTCAGCTAAAAACCATAGGTTGCTATATGCAGTATTGCACTTGTTTAATCGTGCTCATATTGAGAATATTATCTCACAGTATAGGCTGAAACCTCTGATCTCACATGGAATGAACAGAAGGACTTAAAGAAAAAAACCCATGAAACTAACCTTTGTGCTAGACTCTTATATGCTATATGGTATTTGATGGAATTATTTTGTGTATTTATAGAATGAGGGTTTAAAATGTTCTTAGAGAAATAATGGGTCATTCTCCAATCCCACAGATCCGAAACATACTGCTAAGAGTCTGACAACTACATGCTTAGAAGGTTACTGATTCCCCAGGGCCAGTGGATGGTCCATGTTGGAGTAGCAAAGTAGCTCAGAATCCAGAGTGAAATGCTGAGGAATGCTAAGTGCTGGCAGCAACCCCTATGAAGCCTGTTGGCAACACATTCCATGCAGCCAAACTGTTGTGTCAGGGATGCTCCCTTGGCTGACAAACTGCAGGCTGGTCAGGCCTGAAAGATCAGACCCAGAAGTGACACTGCAAGGACCTAATGGTATTTGTTTCCAGTCTTCTAAGCAAAGGAGAAGACATTTGCACTTCTGAGTTTGACAAGGAAACATGCTCATGCCTAGTGCTGCTATTCAACTCAGGTCTGCTGCACAGGGGCTTCCATGTGGTGTTTCTGGAAAAACAACGCCTGGAAGAAGATGGCTCTAGAAGGAACAAGACAGCAACAAGGATTCAAGGAACAAACCAAAGTGGTAAAGGAGAAGGGGGTGTTGGGCAACAGATGACTGAACCTGAGCCAGTGTGTGTGCCTAGGTGGCCAAGATGGCCAGTGGCATCCTGGCCTGTATCAGCAGCAGTGTGGCCAACAGGACCAGGGCAGTCATTGTTCCCCTGTACTGAGCACTGGTGAGACACCTTGAATGCTGTGTTCAGGTCTAAGCACCTCAGCTGAAGAAAGACTGAGGTGCTGGAGAGTCTCCAGAGAAGGGCAATGAAGGCAATGAGGCTGATGAAAAATCTAGTGGGTAAATAACATGAGAAGTGTTTGAGGGGGTTGGGGTTGTTTGGCCTGGAGACCTTATCACTCTGTACAACAAACTGAAAGGAGGTTGAAGATAGGTGGGAGGTGTCTACTTCTCCCAGATAACTAGTGATAGGGCAAGAGGACAGAGTCTCAAGCTGCACTTGGAGAGGTTCAGATTGGATGTTAGAAGTAATTTCTTTATGGAAATGATTGTTAAACATTGGAAATGACTGCCTAGGGAGTCACCATCCCTGGAGGTGTTCAAGAAACCACTGTCTGACATTAATGCTGTGGTCTAGTTGACAAAGTAATGAGCAGTTAAAGGCTGAACTGGACAATCTGGAGGTCTTTTCCAATCTAATTGATTCTATGATTCCGTGATCATAGAGTCATTTGCTTCAACTTAACACTAAAAAGGACTGAAAGAAAAAAGAAAAAAAATCTCAACCAGTCTGCACAAGTGCCAAACTTTCATTTTGTTTCCAATATTGTGATGGTGTAATTATTTGAACTGCTTATTGTTCTACCTTGTGAAGGATTGTACAAGTCTTCAAAAGTATTATCCTAGAGAAATTCCACTCTCAGTTATAGTGTAGTGGGTATTTCTGTAGCAAGCAGCAACTACTAAAGACAAATTATGAAGGACCCTGATGAAAAGTAACTTGAGCATGAGCCAGATCTTTTCCTTGTCACAGTTTAACTGCATCCAGCAAATGAGCACCACACAGTTGCACTCTTCCCTCCAACATCCAGAAGGATGGGGGGAAGAAAATAAGGAGGGTAAAAGTGAGAAAACTCATTGAGATAAGAACAGTTTATTAATTGAAATACAATATAATGATGATAATAGTAATAATAATAGTAACCTGCCTAGGGAGTCACCATCCCTGGATAACAACAACAATAATAATAATAACAACAATAATAATAATGAAAAACAACAGAAAAATAAAGTCCAAGAAATAAAAGTAATGCAAATTAAAACAACGACAGATGACGTTCAGATGTCCTGAACAAGCTCTGGCCGTCCTTCCCCTTAATTTATTTTTGCAGATGATACCACAGCCTGGAACATTCCTTTGGCCATCTGGGTTTGCCTGTCCCAGATGTGTCCCCTCCCAGTTCCTTGCGCATCCCCATCCTCCTCATTGGTGTCATCAACACTGTTTCCAGCACAAATTCACAACACAGCCCCATAGCAGCTACTGAAAAGAAAATTGACTCTGCCCTGGCCATACCCAGCACACCACTCTACCCAGCACTTGTGAGGCCATATCTGGAGCACTGTGCCCATCTCTGGGCTCCCCAGTATAATACAAAATGAAGAAGACAAAGACAGACTCTTCTCAGTAGACCCCACTGAATACCTTTGGCATAAATTAAAGCACATGGAATTTCATCTAAACATGAGAATTTTATTTTTTCTTTCCATGGGTGTGGTCAGACACAGTCCTGGGAAATTTGTTTTGCAGGACGCTTGCAGCACAGGAGTCCAGAGGCCCCTTCCAATCTCAACCATTCTGTGGGTCTGTGATAGCACTTGACAAGAACTTCAGGCTTTTAAAGCAGTATTATGATAAAGATAGAATGTAAAGATTATAAATTCTGTGCTCTAGGTGTCCTGCTTTGACTATATAAATTCTCCTTTAAAACATAATGTATTTTTTTAAGTTGATCTCAGGCAAGAAATAAAGCCATTGGTAAACATGACACCAGAACTGTGTGTATCCAAAATATCTATTCATCTGCTTTTGAGCAATAGAGTAGGAAATTAGAGTAACTTACTCTTTGGGAATTTTTTTCCCAATTAACAGATAAAATAAAGGACAGAAGATAACAGAAATGCACATATTGAATAGGAAAATAATTATTAATGAAATTAGTAATGGCTAGATATCTTCAACAACTCTGATGCAAAAATGTAAGTAAACAGGTGATATTTCCTGATGACATGAAATTGAAAGTTATCACTTATTCAGAGTAATTTGGAATGGAAAAAGAGGTCAGGTGATTTAAAGGAATTATTTGTTAGGAAAAAAAAGATAAGATTTCACTGAAAAAACCTCTACACTTAACAACAGAAATCCTACTTTTAGCACCAAGGCTCATCAGCAGAAGAAGACAGTGACAGAATTATCCTTGGGTTGATAACAGAATATCACTATCTGCAACCATGAGAAGGAAAATGCAGCGCTAGGGCATGTCAAATGATGTATTGCTAAGGATGGAGAAATGTTTTGTCTCTGTATGAGGACCTGGTGAGTACAGGTTGAATCACTGAATTCTAGCAGGTACATGTGGAGAGCAGCTGTGAAGATGACCATAAAAATGGAAAGCCTTTAGTGTGACAGAAGCATTTTTCTTGTTTGTTGAAGACAAAAAAAGGTAAAAAAAAATAACACTTTTATGCTAAGGCAGTGTTGGAACAAAAAAAGAGAATATGAACAAATGAGAAAAAAACTAAGCTGGAAATGACAAGAAACAGAAAAAAACCCCAAACCCTGACTATTTTTAAGATCTTAAAGGATTAGATGATGATGCTACTTGCAAGAGTAAGGAATTTGAATCAGTTACACTTTCTAGCCCTTTGTGGCCTTCTAAAATGCATCTTTCATTGAAACATCTAACACCAAAGTAGACAGTCACATCCAGTGCATTATAAGAGGAATAAAATTAAGGTCAATTGCATTTTGAAAAATGAAAGTGCTACTGTTGAACTATAGCTTTTTGTGAAACATATTTTTTTGCCTAACTGCAAATTGATTCATCCACAAAAGCATGATTCAGATTTCTTTGGGAAGAAATGCCATATATTTTTAACTAAGCCCTTCATGTTTAATAAAAAAAAATTATCATATTTTATTACTGTAGATATCACTGAAAAATGGATCAGCTGAAGAAGCTAAATATAAACTCTATGAGTCAAAATTAATTCATTTAAAGACACAATTCAATACATATTTTAAAGTCTGAAGTGTCCACTCCTTAATTTCAAGCACACAGATTATAAAATATTTGATTAATATTTTCCTCATGATTTTAGATGTGTAAAATTAAAGTGCACACTCTGAGTGCTTCAATTTCTACATTGTAATAAAAAGCGAACTCTTCCCAGTTCTAAACAGCAATTGGAATGTACTGCTTCATACCATTAACATGAAGACCTACTATGTGTGATTTATCCACCAACATGTTTAATTTTGTGAGTTACTTCTGTAATTTGGAAATGTTGATTTATGTTCTTCTAGTCTTTGGACTTAAAGAGAAAACAAAATATTGATAACTGTTCCTGGAAAAATTATGGATTTAAGAAAGGAATAAAATCTTCCTAATATATTTTATGTTTTGGAAGTAGATTTAAAACATATATTGTCACTTTTTGGTCAAACAGGAGTTTACTGTGCCGGCATATATTATTTCTGCAGATATGCTCATCAATTAGCAAGGCATTTTTGATACTACATTTTTTTGTAATATCTTTGTGCAACAATAAACTTCTGCCTTTAGATTTCTGCTTTTTTGAAGTGAGTCCTTTTGATTCAGGTGGTTTCACTTAGGGGTCTCCTGTGTTCTGACCTTTAATATGACATGTATGGGTTCATTTTCTGGATCCTGTCTGAGTGTGAACAGTTATATCTATGAGATTTCTACTTACATGTGAAAGGTTTTGTAAGGGAAGTGATTTCATGAGAGTTTTGATATACGGGGGTGAAATCTTCCAAGCATAGTCAATACCATTTTGACATTGTTAATTCTAGACTTGCAATTAGGTGTTTTGTGGTCTTATATTTCATTAAACTCAAAATAGCTTCCTTCCCATGAACTATCTTTCTCCTTATTGAAGAATTTGTTGAATGTTTCTCGAATGATTCTCCTTATTTACCTAACAATAAATTAACATTAGAATTGACAGTGCATTAGTTCAAAGGGTTCAGATTAGCAGTGTAGAGTAAGGAGCTACAAAATATTAAATTGCTTTCTCCCACAATTCAATATAACCAACTTTTCCAAGAAAATGGCAAAGGAAGTTGCAAAACATACCTTCTCTACTTTTCAAATTGAAGTTTTAAGGGAACGGCTCCACTACTTCTCTGATGAAGGTCTTACAATAAGCTGATTACATTCCTGTCCAAGTCAACAAAATCATGTTTCTACATTTGTGATGTGTTAACTGGAATTGACAAAAAGGGAGGTAATTCTATGGAAAAATTAGGCATGAACATCTGTGTACTGGGTCTCTGACACCTTTTAAAGATGCTGCCTGCAGAAATATTTTATGCAATTTATTTTTTCACAATAAAAATCTGCATTTTTTCCAATTGTCATTGTAATGAATTGAGGATAGAAACCTAACACAGGTCAAAAAGCCCATGTTTTAAGTGATGCATCCTGCAGCTCTCCCTTCAGTTAAAGAGGTGCATCCAAGGGTGATCTTGTCACCTGGAGCTCTAAGACTGACACTTAGAATTCAGATCACACCTGAATACACTGAAGGATACCTCCACTGGAGAATAACACTGTCTGTTTGGATCTCGACACTCCTGATTGCACTTCCATTAAATAATTTACAGTTTCTGCAATATTTGCCATATTTTGCAGTCAGTGTTTTGGAAATCTTATAGCAAGTGCCTGTGGACAGTTGGACTAAGGTTGAATCCTATACCCTATTCTATGCATTATTTAGGTCCTAATGCAATATTACAAACCATTTTTTGAAATGTAGAAGATATAAAGCAAACTTTCAGTAGTTCTGAGGAACAAATATCTGTATCTTAATGTAATATTCTCTGCCTCATTCACTACAATAGAAATTCATGTTTCTGGGTGAGAGCTTTTCTTGACATCTGTTGGGATACAAACACTAATATCCTCAGCTCTCTAGAAGAATTTTATAGCTATTCTTGGTCTGGACAATGAGAAAAATATATAAAAACTTATTTGAAAATAAACTCTCTTTTCATGGCAAATGTATCTAAGAAGCCTATTGTTATTAATGCATACTATAGGACAATTAGTCATTTGAATGCACTGATACTACTAAGTATTCATATAGATAAGACAACAGAAAATGGTGAACAAATGAGATCTAACTACAGGTTTAATTCACTGTGTGAAAACCCAGAGGTCCAAGGACTGAAAAGGACTAACAAAGTAATTTAAGTTCAAAGTTTCCTAAAGTGATCTGCTTCCTTTCTTTTAAAATAATAGAAGAAAACATCATGTATTTCTTAAAATATTGAGGAAAGGGTTACTTCAAAGTGAGTATGAAAATGTGTAGGCTCATGTTCATTCTCCAGAGAACAAAGGAAATATTGCTACTCCCAGACATCCTTTTAGGGTCTGAGTGAGCTTCATAATATAACACCTAAATTTAGATGTCTTCCTGTGTATTAGGCATCAAAGCTCTTGTTAGTGGTAATGGACATCCAGCCCATTCATTCCCTGGAGGCTTGGAAGTGATTTAACTGTACACGCAACAGAGGCTCTCTGTCAAAACATTATCCTTTCCAAGGAATGTCTAGAACTCTTTGTTCCTGAGTGCACAACATTATCTTTAGCTGCTTTTGCCACATGTCCATTTTTTCAATCACATGCATTTACATGTTTATTACATGTTTTCCTTCCAGGTCTCTGATATCGTCAGGTCATACAATAGGATCAAGAATGTATCCTAATGGGTTCATGAGGTCCATCCTTCTTTGTTTGGTACAAGCACGTAAGATTTGAATATGTTATACAAACAGAGTATATGAATGGGTCCTGTAGATGCCGTAATTAACTCCTCTGGCAGCAAGATGTACTGTTGATGAGTTCACCTATTTAATGGCAAGACAGCATGATGTTTTGCTGGCCACTCTAGTACTGCAAAAGACTTACTGCAGTTGCTTCATTCTTTCTAATATCTGATCCCTACCTGATCTTTCTCTTCCTCTTCCAGTGATGCTTCCAAGGACAGTATCACTCCACATAAGGGGCAGGGGAAGACGGGTGGGTGCTGAAAGATGCACGAAGAGGACGATGAAGTTCCCAGGACATACTAGGGAGTGGGGAGCTTGGTGAGCTTGGAGGAGGGAATGCCTATTGTTCATCAGCTCCTCTAGGGCCAACTCACTAAAGAAGGGTTAAACAAGCCCAAGTTGCCAATCCTGTTTTGAACTTCCTTTAACACGAAGATACTTTGCCTCTTTCTACACTCAAAGGAATCTGGTAAAAAAGAATACACATAACCCAACCTCCCCTGCCCCCCACCAAGTCCACCCCCACCAGCTTGCATATAACCTCAGGTCTCCACAGAAATCAATGTGCCTCTGTCTATAACAAGATTATTATCTTTTATTTTTTTATTAACAGCAGTTCATGAGATCTCACGGTGAATGAGCAGTCAGGTTGAGAGGAGATTTTTTTAAAGCCATTTTCTGAGGCTAAGGGAGCAGGTCAAATGTTGAAAGAATTTCCTTAAATGTCATCAATGTGCTCCTTGACTTGCAGGAGAAGGTGGAAGCTTTGCTAAACAAACCAGTTTTTCAAGCTAGAAATTTAGGCTAGGAAATTACTGCAATAGGTCTGTCTGTATAGTGGAAACTATCTGTTTGAAGAAATTGCTAGAATCATTGTTTCAATAATATTCAACTGATATGAGCAACTCACATTTGGATCCTGAGGAAGAAGTCCCACTTGAAGTGGACCGTGATGCTCCCTTCATGGAGAAAACCCCTTTGCCTCTACGAGTTGTTGTCACAGCCACACGAGGACGTTTGAGTGGAATCACTGCACGGGGCGGTGGGGGGACACGGCCATGGTAATCAAACAACCTAGAAAAGATTAAGTCAGCTGGACTCCATAAAACCCTCTGTGATTTCATGTCATGGGAGCTATGTCAACTACATTTGCATGTTATCTGAGAAAATTACCCTTTGAAACTGTAATCACTTTATATCAAGTCAAATTAAATTTCAAGGACCTCTGCACATTAAGTGCCTTATTCAGATTTCAGTCACACACTGGTGCACAGACCAGCTCAGATTTTTTGTGTGTCATTCAAATGAAGGATGTATTTCAGGACTCTGCAATTTGCCGTATGGAAAATCCATAACTTGCTTTCCACAGGTCCACATAATTTCATTGTTCACAGCCAACAGCAGTACATTTTGTTGTGACATTTCAGCTCCTTTATTACATGCATGGCTTAAATTCTAGTTTTCTATCTGCTGTTCTTAAAGATGGAAAAGTAAAGTACAAAAGAACTTTCCTGAAGACAACCATCACCATAAAGCAATATTCTGCAGTTTCTGAAATAACAAGAGTCTTTGCATATGTTCTTTCTATTGCAGGATGGATTGGTGTAGAAATACTAAAATAACCAAGCATGCTTAATTAAAAAAAAAAAAAAAGTTCAGACCAAAACCACTGTAGCAGGCAGATATTCAGACTTTTAACCAAAGATATTCTATGACAAAAATGAACTTTTGATCCCAAACAGAATAGCCTAATCCTAAAGATACAGTTATCAATAACAGATAACTAACCTGTGTAAAGGGAAATAAAGGCAGTAAAAAATGTAATCAAAGCTACAGATATATTTAGAACATAAAATATATGGGTTCTGGATATGATAGGTCAGGAGAAGAAAGTTCAAAAAACAAAGATTTCCAGTTCAGAGTCTGAAGCAGATGGATAAGCAACATCCTCATAAAATATTCTCAAATTTACTTGCAACTAGTAATTATGGAAATTTATAACCGCATGCTTAATTTTCACAGTTGTGAATACTGTCACCCAGCTGGGCAGATAGATACACATTTGAAAACAGATACACAAGCAACAGTAATTCACTCACCACAGCATCTAACAATATGATGAACAGAACACAGAGTTAAATTTAAATCTTCTAACTCAATTTTTGGTAAGTACATACCTAGTACTTAAATCAAACCACACTTCTGTCTGTACTGTAATCCTACAGACAGTGTAACCATCTCCCTCCTTTTCCATAGCTGCCTACAAAATGTGACACAGAGATCCTGTTACACTCAATGACTGAAATCCATGGCCTCAAATATTCCCACAAATAAGCAGCTTCTAGCCATTGTTAGCATAACTAAAGAATTGTGTGTGAAGATGGACACTAAACCATTTTTTTCTACTTTTAACACAAATATTAGTGTTTATTGCCAGTCATCATTTATCATATTAAATGATCTGCAGGTTGGTCATAAACTTCTTTTTGATATTACTGGAAAAAAATGTTTCTGAATGCTATAAGCTGTCATGCAAAAGTTCATAATATGATTATTAGTTTGAACATGATTTCTTTTAGCTTTCAATTGTTTTTGTTTAGATAATATAGTGAAAGGTGAAACTATGCTTCCTTTTCTCTAAATATATGAAAGAACATTTATCTAAATGACTGTTATCAGTCTCTTCCTACTTTTGTTTGTGAAATTTTGCAAATCTTTTGGCCTTGGTATTTCATTTGTCCTGTTCTGTATATTCCAGTAATATGCTTTCTTTTAAAAAACAGTGCTTCCATTTATAGTTTTGAAGCACCATGCCTGTTTTTCTTATGCCTGTAATATGAGAAATGATAAAGAGAAATGCTCAGTTTCAAAGCAATTCTTTGTCCCAATAATCACTAGTGTGCATGCAACTATGCCTTTTCTTTCAGTCACTCTTCTAAATTTACAGTTCTGATCTTGCCAATCTATCTTCATATAGATTTTATTTTAAATAACTAACCATTCCTGACACCCGTTTTTGACCTCATATGCAGGTTTTCTACCATAGAAGTTCTGCTGTCTTAATTCTAAAAGACTTCTAAATTAAAAAAAATTACTATTGAATAGACTTATGGATACATTTCACTGTCAATGGTTTTACCTAACAACACGATTATCAAGAGATACACCAATAAACAACCCTTAATGTCCAATATATTTTTTAAAAAATTTTTGTTTTTTCTTTTTTTTGGTGAAAATTAACCATTACAGTTTATAATTTCTGCTACTCATAAAATACAGAATTGAGGAAAAAATTAGATATATACCTTTAATATTCATGTGGCATAGATGAGAAACACTATTCTGTTTAAAAACATGCAATTCCACAGATGAAATTCAGAGCTGTAACCTTGGAAAAAATAAATAAAAGCCTATGGAAATTAACTTTTTACAGGATATGTGCTACTCCTACTGCAAAGGCTGGACTGAGCAGGATTAAACTGTTTTGATGGCTTTTACTTCGTATGTTCATAGGCCATGCTATATCTCACTATTTCTAGCATACTTTAGAGGGGGCATGGTGGTTTATATGCAAAACTAAAACTATTGGCTCAAATTCAACCCACATCAGGAGAAAACAAATATGAAAATATCGTTTCTACATTTTTCCTACTATGTTCCTAAGCAGAAAGATATATAGCACATGCCAGCTTAACTTCTGGGTGTCTTATGTGTTTTGTCCCCTGCTACTGTCCATTGCTTTACATAGAAGAAATGTTCAGATTAGAAACCTGTGAAAAAACCTGTGAAATATGTTCAGAAGAAACCTGTTTAGATTAGAACAGGTTGGTGGAGCAATGCATTGTTCCTCTCTGGCTCACTTTTCCTGTGCCAAACCAAGGTGCTGTAATGCAAAGACACAGCACTGCTGGATAACAAGTTGGTTATCTGTGATCATTCTTACTACTCCTGTGTTGTGGGGATTCTGCTACATCTGAATAAATACAATTTCACAGTGCTGAGCTGGGCTGTGTGTAACCACTCAAGGCAGAATCTCCAATTACTCAGGCATCCAAATTCTTTTTGTCCTACAGGAACACACTGTTCAGATTGTGCTTTTGCTTCTCTCAAAGTTCTTCTGGACTTCTAAATGTTCTTGGAACATTCTTGAGGAGACATTGTATTTTTTAGTACACATGGATGAAAATACAAAGCTGGGAACATCATACTGAAGAATTTTGCAGCCACTATACATCCCAGCGAAAGTAAGTCTGGAAGAACTCTACTAAACTACCATTAAACTGTTCAGCACAGCAAATACCACAAAAGCTCTTAGAGAAAAATAAGATCTAAGGACCTGTTTAGTAAGCATATATTTGGTGGTGGTGATCTTCTCTGCCAGATATTAAAAATATTCTTCTGATACACGATAGAAATAATGCAATGAATAATTGATAAAATCAGAATTGTCCTGTTTAACCAAACAATGGGATTATATTATCCTCAAACATGAAAAATTATGTAGGATGTACAAAAATATAGGCACACATACCGATTGTAGAAATCATCTCTGTAGTAATCATAATCAAAGACATAACCACTGTGGAAAAACACAGAAAAACAAGAATGAACGGGCTTATAGGAAAATACACACTGATTAAAACTTCTCTGGTAATATTGGCTTACTCTCAAATTTCTATCCCTTCTTCAAAGTCTTTCCACTTCTTTTGTACTGTGTACAGTGTACATTATGTTTGTCAGTGCTGTTGTCAGCTATCATGTATATTTGGAAATGTGAAGTCTGGGGCACAAAGAACTGTGTAAACAGCTGACAGCAGACACAGATAGGATTTAACACAGTGAGACAGCTCTGTAATTAGAGGATCATTATAGTGTAATTCTCTGAGTGATCAAATGAAGTTAGCATTCCAAAACTGACACCCTCTTCTTTTCTGGTCTAACATAGCATCATCAGTAGAGTAGGTAGACATTTAAATACATGAAAGAGTGGGAAATGAGTGAGAAGGTGAGCTAAGACATTTACTTTGATTTAGAGAAACATGAAAAGGATTGGACTTCTTCCTGGTCCTTGAGTCCACCAAATTGTTTTCGTTAAAAAGACAAAAAGTAAAAAGTTAAAAAAATAAATGCTAAATAAGTGTTACAGGGATGTATTTCCTCTCAGGTTCAGGAAGGAATACACATACTAATCTGTGAAAAGACAGGCACCATCAAGGGAAACAAACAAATGTGAAATTACAGACGTCCATGAGAAAACTACTTTTGAGCTTTCAATAGCAAAGTCAATCCCAGATTCCTGGTTTTGCATTCCATTGGCAACTTTCTACTTTTGTGGTGAAGAAATAACAAAGAAGTCTTATCTATCTCATACATCCCCCACCAAAAAAAAAAAAAAGAAAAAAAAGAAAAAAGCCCCAAACCAACAAACCAATGAGCCAATAATGGCTCTGCATAGAAAAGTCACAAGGGTTTATTTATACTCTGCCTAGTAACATGGTAACATGCTCTTTTACTGTTTTGAGAAGGACAATGATGAATAGTAAAGGTAAGAAACACGAAGAAAGTATCACAAAAGAAGGAGAACCTTTAAGTGAGAAAGGAAAAAGATAGAAAAGATAGAGGTAATGAGTGCAAAACACAGAGGAAAACTTTCCCTGAAAGTAAAGGGACACTATGGAATAATAGTGTGATTTAGGTTGGAAAGGACCTTAAAGATCAACTACACATTACAGAAGCTTTTCACAGGGAATGGACTTGTGGATAATTTCTGCTCTTGAACATTGAGCAAAGTGGGGTTTTTTGTGCATACTTTGAAGAATGTGTCAAGAATTCTACCAGAGCAGGTCAGGGCACAATTTCTGTCTCTGCTACACCTTTTTCACATGCAAGTGCCCAGTTGCTAATAATAGAATAAGTTGTACTGTCTGTCTGCACAAAATTGCAGTAGAAGATCATGAGAGCTGCAGGCAACTGTGGTCCTTCCTTTAATTTATTTGAGAAAAGAAATCCTAAGATACATTTCATGTGAAACACTGAATTGAGCAAGCCTGAGAGAATAGAACCCAGCAGCAGGAAAGCTATGTGTGCCAGAGGATCTAAAATATCATTAAATAATAGTAGACTGTGCATAGTGATCATGTGTCTATATCTTAAGATGCATCACTGTGTCTTAATGTAAAACTGGCAATTTTTTTCTGAACTATATGACAGCTCTTATTTTGTCTTTCACTTCAGTCTGTATGGAACTAAGAAGTAGCAGGTATAAAAGCTATTATTTTATTTACAGTTATTCAGAGCTTCCTAGTGGTTTTATTTAGCTGAATGATTAATAGCTTCAGTAAGCCCATACTTAATATTCAATGTGTGTTTTTAAGTAGATGATAACAGACAATTTGAAGAAATGATATTAAATTTAAAATTCCTGTCACATGAAACCTTTTGCCTGGAGTTGACATTTATTTAATTTGCATAAAGACCAAACAAATTCACTTTTTCAAGGTTGAAGACCATGAAGCTGGTGAAGGATAATTCACTGGCACCAGCTAGAGTAAGGCTGAAGATGACTATATTTTTCTGTAGTAACTCAGCTCTGGCTGTTATTACAGAACAGAACAAGGACTGCTGGCCCCTCAATGGGTATAAAAATTTAATGTTGAATGATGATGTTTCATCTGCAATAACATGTTGAAGAGATTATAGTGTGAAAGCAACCAGTACATCTCTCTATCTACAGCCATAATTGTTCCTACTTCAGCATGTCAAGGGACAGATATGGTCAGTGCTGCAGCACAACAACAAGCAGAAAATTAGCACAGATAATCACTGGCACTGAGATCAAGGTGACTGCAAGGCTCTTAACCTCTTGAGAGTTATTCCTTAGCAACCCAACAGCCTGTGTAATGGAGGTCACAGGTAATCACTCATACAGTGTTGAATACCAAATACTGAGCAGGTCAGAAGCAGAGAAAGGTTTAAACAAGCCTGTGTACTGGTGGAGTCAGCAGTTTCCTAGTGGCACCGTAAACAGGCAGATTACTTACCCATGAACATGTGCCATCTCAACAATATTAACAATAGAACTGCATGCATGGTAATGATATTAATGCAGTACACAGTAAAAGACACTGCTTTACATGTGTCTCACAATGAGGCAAAGAAAACTTATCAATAAAATGTGCTTCTACTAAGCTGAAGTCATGGTTCCTTTTCCTAATTTAGTATCACCAAGACAAGCTGTCTTTTTTGGTTTCACTAAGCACTATGCATATCTTTAAAACTGTGTATGCCTGAAGAATAAATGTCTCCCCCACAACCATATTTTCAGAGCTATGATGCTCTGTGTATTCAAAGTTGCTGTGCATATCAGCAGTTGCACATGTGCCAAGTAGGCACATAGAGTATTATGCTTCTGCATCTTTGAAATAAACCTATGGATGTTATTATGTCTTTATATACCTGATGTTGAAATCATACTACTACAAAAGTACAATCTTTTTTCCATTCTCCATGCTATGACCTCAAAAGATATTTGTAAGCTAATGATCACATCCCATTTTAACTTAGCTCCAAATGTCAGTGGTATAACTGACTTCTGTGGTGTTATTCTAACTTTAGGAGAGTTAATGCAGAACAGAGCAGAAATACCTTTTGTTATTTTCCTGTCAACAAGACTTTTTTCTCCTATTCAAATCAGCCTTAGCTAATATTGCTTTTTCTTTCCACATGTACAAATATATTTAAATCATAAATGTTGACAAACCAGGCATAATGTATCTTAATTTAATTGACAGTGCTATCACCATTTATACTGTCAGTTTCTTCTCTGTTGTGAGGCCTGAATAAAAATATTAAATATAAAAGCAATATTTGTTCAATCAAACTTGTTTTGGGAAGCACATATTAACCTAATGGTTGAAACTAGTATTCTAGCCATTTGTGAAATAATTTCTTGTGCCATGGGAAAAGAGTGTTAGAAATTGCTCTTGTTCAGAGCAAAAGAGAATCAGTCTAAACTGATATTATGTTAAAAAGGAAGTCAGTGAGGATAACTAGATGATTTAGAGACGAAGCATTGAGAGATGGAAACTTTCCCTGTTAGAAAATCAATCAGATGGAAGTTACTTTCATAAGCTGTTAAAAAAAATGGTGGAGATTTCAGTCCACTCTTCAGCGGATGGTTATCTACACTCTCAGACATGAATCAAATTGGTGGGCTGAATCCCACCTTTACTTTAAAGAAAATTCTATTTTAGGTAAGGGTGAGAATGCCAATAGAAGCAGAGAGGCACTGCTGTTTTGCAGCTCAGGCTGTATATTCTGCAGAGAAAGAGAACATTCTCCAGACCCTGCTTTTTTGCTGACAGACTTACTGTCAAAAGTCAAATTATTTCAGTGATTCTTTCAACTAGGAAAAAGAGGGGGCTGGAAGAGGAAAAATAATTGCAGAGAAGTATTTTACATTCATTTCCATAATGAAGCTGTGAGGGCAAATAGGTATAGTTAAAAAGAACAGTTTAACACCAAAATCCCCAATCACTTGTCCCAAAATGCCAAACAATTGAACGATACCTACTATTTGTGTATTTCAATTAATGATTAAATTGCATAGTAATTTTGTAGCCATACGTTAATGAAAGTTTTTTTCTTTCCCCTAATTCTGCACATTTGTTCAATTAATAAGAGCAAGATATAATTTTTCTTGAGTGGGGAAAGGATAAGGAATAAATTTCAAGAAGTGCAGCATGGAAGTAATACTTTAAGTGGATATTTTTTTCTGCAAAACTGAAACATTTTTTCCAGTTCTAATCTGAAGAGGTGCATTTTGTCCAAGGAGGACATCTATACATAAAAAAGCTGACATACAGTACACCATTTTCCATTAAAGTATCTTTCTGCAGGCACGAGGCAGAATTTATTTGTAATATGATTAGGCTGTATTTTTTATGTCTCTAGATATGTTCCTTCTCTGCTCTCATCCTTTCTTCCAATAACTCTCATGCCAGTGAAATGCATTTTGGGAAAATTGTTGAGCTTATTGTGCAACCTGAATTTTAGACAAAGCTTGGGCAAATATTCAAAGTTACATATACCCATTCAGGTAATTAAAACACTAAGACATTTTCCTGTAGAGGATTAGGCAAAGCTTGTGAAGCAAAGAACAAAGACATTGAGATCAATATTCAGACTCTGGGGATCAGCTGGTTTCAGAGCTGTTTATGGAAGCAAGACAGACAACAGTGATGCAGACAAAACTCACTCCCAACAGTTTTCTGTACAGCTAAGTATTAGAATTCCTCCTAACTAAAACTACTTACTGTGGCTGCAGGCACATCTTATGCTTAATGTTATCCTGATACTCTTTAGAAACAAAACAGTTGCTTTTTACTGTAAAGATACCTGTGTAAATCTACTAAATATCTCCCCAACAAATCTACCAAATATCTCCCTAACCTTTCTCCTCCTGTTGCAGAACTATATTTTTGTTTATCTGAAGTAATGACCTCTTATTTATGTATTCTGTGGGAAAACGTCATAGTAAGGCAAAGAAAAAGATTTGGCCCAACCATTTCCTAAGGTGTC